TCAGTTGCCCAGTCTGAAGTACAGTGGTGCGATCTTGGCTCACTGCAACCTCCACCTCCCGGGTTCAAGCAGATCTCTGCCTCAGCCTCCCAAGTAGCTGGGATTGCAGGCATCCGCCACCACACCTAGCTAATTTTTTGTATTTTTAGTAGAGACGGGGTTTTACCACCTTGGCCAGGCTGGTCTTGAACTCCTGACCTCGTGATCCACCCACCTCAGCCTCCCAAAACAGTAGGATTACAGTTGTGAGCCTCCGCACCTGGCCAGAATTCTTATAGTCAAAAGATAACCTTGATCTTTGGAAAAACATCCTGGGTTTTTTTTGTTTTTTGTTTTGTTTTGTTTTGTTTTGAGACAGAGTCTCACTCTGTCACCCAGGCTGGAGTGTGATGGCACAATCTTGGCTCACTGCAACCTCCACCTCCTGGGCTCAAGTGATCCTCTCACCTCAGCCTCCCAAGTAGCTGGAACTACAGGCGAGTGCCCCCACAACTGGCTAATTTTTGTATTTTTTGTAGAAACAGGGTTTCACCTTGTTGCCCAGGGAGGTCTCAAACTCCTGGACTCAAGCGATCCACCCACCTTGGCCTCCCAAAGTGCTGGGATTACATGTGTGAGCCACTGCACCCAGCCTGGAAAGAAAGAACTTAAAAAAAATTTTTTTTGTTTTGAAACAGGGATTCAGTCTGTGACCCAGGCTGGAGTACAGTGGTGCCATCATAGCTCACTGTGGCCTCAAACTACTGGGCTCAAGCAGAGAGGCAATCCTCCCACCTCAGCCTCCTGAGTAACTGAGACTACAGGCACATGCCACTACACCCGGCTACATTTTCTATTTTTTGTAGAGAAGAGGTTTTGCTGTGTTGCCAGAGTTGGTCTCAAACTCCTGGCCTCAAGTGATCCTCCATCTTGGCCTCCCAAAGTGCTGGGATTACAGGTGTGAGTCACTGTGTCCAGCCCAAAATGTTTTTTGTTGCATAATTGTTGTTCTCCAGGCACATGATGTAGTATTTAGGAAATACTTTTTGAATTAAAGGGATAAAAATAAGGACTACAAGGCCATTATTTTATGTATCTATAATAGGAAACATCACCTGTTAATGACTTCCTGCTCTAAGCTGTACTTTTTAACTTCTCCTCTGATTGTTCAAACCTTCAATAAGTTAACTGGCTTTCTTTGTAAAAGAAACTGAATTATTTGTCCCATTTCTCCCCTCAATTACACAGTTAATTCCTAGTTGTCAAAATAGGAGTATTTTACCAAAACAAAAAGCAGGAAAATTACAGGTAATTCAGCCATCAGCATTAATTCTACATTGTCTTAGGAGGACCTAATTAAAAATATGGGGCCATGGTCCTCATGTGAAAGAAAAGTATGGAAAACAACAATACAGGAATTCTTTTTCTAAAGGAAGTAAGTTATGGTTTCATTGACATAAATTTAAAACAGAGACAGTCTTATATAATACTTATCTTACTACAATTCTCTTCAAGAATTTAACCGTTTGTGGTCACCTATGTTGCTATCATCTTTGTCTAAACCACCTTTACCTCTTTCTTAAATTATGGCAACAGCTTTACAATTGGTCTCCGAGTTTTATTTTGTTTTATTTTTATTTTTTTAACACAGGAACATCCTTTTAAAATCTAGGTCAGGTCATATACTCCTCTGCTTAAAATCCTCCAGACGCTTCCCTTTTTGTAAAACCAACATCTTTAAAATGGCTTACAAGACACCTGCCACCTCTCAGACTTCGTCTTCTACAACTCTGCCCTTCCCTCACTTCACTCTAGCCATACTCTCCTTTTTACTGCTTCTTAAAGATGTCAAGCACACTCCTACCTCAGGGCCTTTGCATTGGCAGTTCTCTCTCATGGAACACACTTTCCCTAGTGTCCAAATGACTAGTTTTCTCTTTGATCTCATATCACTCTGTCAATGAAGATCTTTTGTGACCATCCTATATAAAAGCGCAACATACCCCTAGTACCTGCTCATTCTTTTCCTGATGTATTTTTCTCTTCAGTATTTTATGCCATCTGATTTGCCCTAATTTGTTTATTCTTTCTCTGTATTACCCAGGAGCAACATAATGTTTTATTTTATTTTATTTATGTTGTTTACTGCACCTGCAGCACAGAGGTGCATAACAGATATTTAATAACTATTTGTTGAATAAATGAACAAAGGCAAGTGATTAGCAGTACAGCCATAGCTCTTCTTTCTGGACCATGCTCAGCTGACTCAGAGAAGGTATAAGCTACATGCTAGATAATCTGAATTATCTTCAGGAGAAAGATAACTACATAACTGTATATTTTAACTCACTATATTATAAAACATACAACATGCTTAAACTTTGTAAATACTTTTCGGGGAGGAAAAGAGAGAGCTCCAGTTTTTCATCAGAAAAATAAATGTCTTTTTCAGCAGCAAAGAACACTGTAGTTATTTCTCTTTACATGGACAGTGTGCTCCTTAGTTAGATTGGAATTATTAGATAAGAATTAGATTATTAGCTAGGAATTAGATTAGCGCTAGGAAGTCATGCATTTGTTTTCCGATGTGAGGTCTTAGCATTAGAAGATCGTGTTCTTATATTCATATAATCTTTATTTCCATTTTAACAACAGTAACACAGTTTGAACCTTTTTTATATAACAACCATTTCAGTCTGAAATCACCAGTGTTATGGCAAGGAAGTGTCCTCAAGATCACACACCTATAAAGTTACTGTAGTGTTGCCACCCGTTTTTCACCTTTTACTCCCTTACTTTATCCTGTAAGCTTTCCATCCTGCATATTCATTACAGCCATATTTGTGTGTCATAGTCCTGTTTACTGCTCTACTAAATTCTCCAGCCAAAAGGAGCAAAGAAACAAGTCATAGATGGGCACTGCATCTTTATTATAGAATAGTACAGGAGCTGCAGCCCACTTACTTAAGATGAGCTCCCATATTGACTCCTTAACTCTGTGTTGCTTGCTAAAATTGTAACAAGGCCATCTCTGGAGAGGATTATATATTATTTGAAGGCCATAGCCACAAATGTTTTGTTCTCCAGGTGATGCTGTATTAAACATAAAATATCTGACTTGTAGATAAATTGTACATTATTGAGAAATCAAAATAGTTACTGAGTAAATTAAACAATGACAAAGTTAGGTAAGAGTTGTTATCAATCATAGGATGTCACTGCTTTTCTTTATTTTGTTTTACTATTTTGTTCAAGATAAAGTTGATAGGGCAGGGAGCAGTGGCTCACGCTTCTAATGCCAGCACTTTGGGAGGCTGAGGTGGGAGGATTGCTTGAGCCCAAGAGTTCAAGAACAGGCTGGGCAACAAAGTGAGACCTTGTGTCAATTATACTTTAAAAATAAAAATAAAAAAGAAAGACGATGGTTTTAAATGAACATATTACTAGCCAATGGAGTTATATATAACTAGTCTTTTAGATACTTCATTTGCTGGCATAAATATTATTAGAATACAAAGCTTTTGGACTCTTGTCTTAGAACTGAGAAGTTGTAATTATGTTTTCAGATTCCTTTTTTGGTTTATCCTTTCATTTCATGTGAGGCTTTAGACTTTTAATTACGCCTCTTGCAGATATGATTATAAAAATGCAATTTAAGGCTGGACATTGTGGCCCATGCCTGTAATCTCAGCACTTTGGGAGGGTGAGGCTGGCAGATCGCTTTAAGCCAGGAGTTCAAGACTAGCCTGGCCAACATGGCGAAACTCTGTCTCTGTTAAAAATACAAAACTTAGCAGGGTGTGGTGGCACACGCCTGTAATCCTAGCTACTCTGGAGGCTTAGGCATGAGAATGGCTGGAGTCCGGGAGGTGGAGGTTGCAGTGAGCCAAGATTGCACCAGTGCACTCCAGCCAGGCAACAAAGCAAGACTTTGAGACACACGCACACACAATTTAAGATCGGTGTGGACACCTGGTATCATCTGTGCCAGTGGATCACAGCTTGAATCTTGAATACAAGAAGATTCAATACACATCAGAAAAACCTAACGAATTCTGTGGATTCTGTATTTTACTGAAATAAAGTGGTAACTAAACATTAGGTTTCTTTCACTGGAATTATTTCAGCTCAGCATGACAATGCTTCATTTACCTTTTAATCTGAAGTTCTGAACTGCAGTTACATGGCTTTGCGTTTTCTTTTTTGTTTTTGTTCATTTGTTGTTGTTGTTGTTGTTGTTTTTCTAGAGACAGGGTGTCTCTCTGTCACCCTCGCTAGAGTACAGTGGCACAATCATAGCTCACTGCAGGCATGAACTCCTGGGCTGAAGCAGTCCTCCCACCTCAGTCTCCCAGGTAGCTGGGATTACAGGTGCACACCACCCAGCGAATTTTTTGACTTTTGTAGAGACAAGGTTCTTGCCATGTTGCCCGAGCTAGTCTCCTGGGCTCAAGGGATCTTCCCACTTTGGCCTCCCAAAGTGGTAGGATTACAGGCATGAGCCACCATACCCCGCCTTGATTTTTCTTTTTAAGAGAGAAAAATGTTTATCATAATGGAATTTTTAAAAAAAATTCTGAGAGACAAAAATCTTTCATAATAGGAATTCAGAGTTTTGGGGTGGAGTGCATAATAAAATGTTTTATTAGTGGTGAAATGGCTAGGAAGTCTTTGGCCTAGTTTAATGCCTGCATTTTACAGAAATGGAAAATTAGACTCAGGGAGAGTCGACGACCTACTCTAAGCTCTCATGCCTCCTGAGAGGCAGAGCTGAAACCTGGATCCCTATCTCCTGACTCCCAGTTTAGTGCTCTTTCGCATTACATGATATAACTCCACAGTGTTCTGGGACCTGAGTAGCCCATCTTATATTACATAGAATGATAGGGAGAATACTTCTGCCCTACTGCATACACATGTGCTACAGCTACATAGAGCAAGTAGCTTAACAAATTTATTCCAAGTTTTGTATCTGTTTCCCAGCGTCTGTTTAGGGACACTTGTCATTGTTAGGAATGGTGAAGCATACCAAGTACTTGTCAGACAATGCTTGTTTTGCATTGTTCTTTGTTGAAAATGTATGACTGACACCATTTCCCATCTTTTTCCCTGTTGATTTCACTCTTCTTAGATGTGTGTTCAAACTGAAGTATTTTTTGGCGTTTGTTGAGAATGGTCACCGGAATTTAGTAATAAGAAACCATTCTTAAAAGATACATCTTTTCATAAATTCAAGATCTGTATGATTTCTTCCAGTGAATATAGCAAAAATTAGCGTTGCTTTTTTGCTTTATTATCACAGATGTGAGGCAGGATGTTTTGGTAGACTCAGCATTTATTTAGAGGTAAGAAGTATTAAAAAATTACTACCACTAGCAAGAATTTTTACTGAAACAAAAGTATAGATTGGGGACCAAAAATAACTTAATGTATAAGTTACTTACAGCTTTGGATTGCAGATTCTTGAAATGGTTCTGGGCTAAGATGCAGATGTTACTTCTAGTCTTTTTAAAAATAAATTTTAAATAGAATAGAATATCTTGGTGCTGTTCCATTTCTCATAAATTGAAAGGATCTGGTGTTTTCCAGTTCAGAAGAATAGAAAATCACACAGGCCAAAAGAAGAAACAAAAAAAGGGTGGCACTTTCTTTAAGAGACAGCTAATTTGACCCAAGACATCATGTTCACAAAAATTGTTTAGCTTTACAGATGATTTTAAACGATAGCTTTGTTTGCCTACAGTTTTGTTTTGTTGTTAGATTGCCTAACGAGTCAATAGTGCAAAGCCTTGTGTCAGTCTTGAAACATCTTCAGAAGTGCTGGTTTCTTGAGGAATTTAAAAACCTGGGGGTCATCCTCATCGTTTTTTTTTTTTAGTGTGTGCATACACACACCATTAGGCAGTCCTGTGATTATAGAGCCATCTGCAGGAAAATTGTCAAGTTGCAACATAGTTAATGATTCTCTTACTGTGTTATTTCAAGTGGTAAATGAGAAGTGACAAACTGCAATTCACGAAGGGAAGGAAAGGGAAAGGACAGCCAAGAGATGCAGGGGCAGCGGGATCCCCCCCTCCTTAATTTTTCAAAGAAAACTGCTTTGTCATTGTGAGTTTGTGATCAAAAGAAACATGCAATTTGCTTCAGATTTTACATATTCTCGGTAATTATATAGTTCTGTCTCATTTGAAGGGTTATCTAATGATTGCCTTTTAGAAGCTTTGTATGATGTCAATTCTATTCATGTTGATATCGGAGGGATACTATTTATTCACCTCAGAAAGAGATTTATTTGCTTTCTTCTCCAGGAGATATGGCTGTTTTTACATATCCTCATTATAGTCATATGGTTGTCAAAAGGAAATTAATTGTTCTTTTACCTTAAAAATGCAGTTTACAGAGGTGATTGTTTCCATTGACTCTATAGGTAGGGGTTTTCTATTTTGTTAATCATTAAGCATTTCTAAAACTCATTTTAGACTTGAGATATTTGTAAAGAAACAGTCATCTGATATCCTGTATCCGAGTCAGATGCTATTTTGTGAATTTTACCATGTATCTTTACACTGTGTTGAGAAATGTATATTTATATGTGTTGATATCCAAATAAGTTATTTACCAGTACTCAGACTAATCTTTAATATCCACCTGTTATTGGTTTGGTTAAGATTTTGGTAATCACAATTAAGGCTTAATTGGAACAGTTTTTTTCATGGAATGTCACTTGAGTAAAGATCATAAAATCAAGTCTTTGATTTTTAAGATTTTCATACAGTGGAAAGATAGTAATTAGAAGCCTTTTCACTGATAGACTGGGTATCAGCAAGATGGGAGTGATTGTTGAATTAGAAGATGCACTACTGATTTTAGATCAATAACACTATTAACTTTAAATAATATGCATTGAATTCTAGTGAATTGGTTTGAAAATGGTGCATTATTTCACTGGAGTTTTATATTCTTAATTTGTTTCTTGCAGAAGTAAATTTTCTAAAATGTGAGGATATTAGAAAATCAGAAGAACAACTTTCTGAACATTTAGGAATGACTGTATTTACAAAGTAGCATATACAACCAGAAAAGTCTGCAATATAATGTTCAGATATAAAACCTGGAATTTTGATATCTGACTTAATTAGCAAGGCTAACTAAAACACTGCACAGTTGAAAGACAGCATTCACTCACATGTCATCTCTTTACAAGCTAGAGGAGGAAGAAGAGGCATTGTGGAAAGTTCTTTTGCTTTGAATTTGTTCACTTACAGATTCTCTGACTATCCTCTTAAATCTATCCTCACCCCTACCTCCCTTGCAGCCAATAATTTATTATTTGCTGAGTTCATCCTTTAGGAAAATATAGAGTTCATTCGTGGAGTTATTCATGTGTCAGGTTTTAAGATTGACTTCATTTATTACTCTGAAAGTCTATTTTCCAAGATTTGATTCACTTAGAAATAATGTTGAAACTTTTCATGAGGAATCTTATGAGTGGGTTTTAGGTTTACTTTTCCAGTCAGAACTTCTGGCTTTTGGGACAGTGGAATGTTGCCTGTTTGTTTTAGAAGAATATACAGTAAGATTAACCACTAACTGGCCTATGTTAACTAATTCAAGATTATTTAGAATAAATAACTATTTAGAATTTTATGTTACCTTTGGAAACATTCTTGCTTAAGGATCATTGAAAAATAGCTATAACTGTTATAGTGATCCAAATATAAGGATAAAAATGAGCTAATAAAGTAGATAAAAATACTACAGGGATAACTCTAAGAAATTTTATATAGTTCTCCAAGGAAGATCTGTTTCCCAATCAACAGAAATGTGAGATGGAAGAGGGAAATTTTGCATGGGAGCCTGGAATTTAAACTGAAGTTTCCAGAGAGCTCTTACTTGGTGGACTTCTTGAAAACATCTTTTCCTAAATCATCAGTAAAGAAGTAACTTATTTAGGCAAAGCACATTATGGCTTTTTCTTGCCTAGTTTAGTTCTGTGCTTAATGACTACTGGAATAGCAACAAACATAACATCCTGATAACATTTGGGAGGAAAAGGCGTATTTGAAAATTGGTGAAATGCAATGATCTTTAAACCAGGAATCATCAGTTTGTTAATAAAAGATGTATGGTTCCAAGTTATGTATTTTTTCAGGGTCCTCTGGCATTTTCATTAATCATTTTGCTAGTGTGTACAATGATTCCTATCTTGTGTAAAACTTGATTTTTTATATTTTTGAACTAGGTGACATGAATATTGAGTCAGATCACATAATCTTAGAACAACATATAAGTGATTATGTAGAGTTGTGGGTGGAAACAATTCTGGATAAAAAGTGCATGACAATTCAGAGCTCCTGTGCAGACTGCACGCCTGTCTGAAATCAGGTTTAAAAATGGGCCCTGTCTCCAGCTGACTCGTTTTGTCAGACTGAGTCACAGGATTAACCCTTGACATGTTCCTTTAAAAAAAAAAAAGCAAAGATTAAACAACTGCATTGACTAAAACAGCACTTGACCCATCTATATGCATTTTTTTCCTGTAATATGATTCTCCTCAGGACAAGAAATTGTGCTACAGCTGTTGCATAGATTAAATTAATTTTTAAAAAAATTGGGAGCAGAGAAAAAAAGATTTTATTGTACAAGATAATTTATGATGGCAATCAAGCAATGACCATCTACATCAAACAGTTTTAGTTTTTTGGGGGATAAGGCAGGCTTCAAGAAAAATGCTGTTTTGGAGCAACAAACTTAAAAGACTTTTCCATAGCATACAAGTAGAATATAGGGACATTTTATGTAGATTCCACCAGTTTTGTTGATGATTTACTGTTTTTGAAGAATGAGCTTTTAATATCATATAATTATAGATACAGGCATAGAGTTTTGTTTTGGTTTTTAGTTTTTATATCTATCATCAATTTAGGCAGTAGTGTATACCAAGTGACTGTGGTGTGTATTGGCAGGGGAGGTCTTACCTACACATGTACGAGTTTTGTATTTATGTTTTTTAGGGGAATAATGAAAAGTAGAAGCAAAAGCTTTTAATTAGTTACTCAACTCTCTTTAGAAACTATGTTTCACATTCAGGTTTCATGTTTAACACTAAATCTTACCTAGGTGTTTAATAAATAAGTGCATTTTTTTTTTCATTAAAGAAATTTGATTATACTGTTCGGCTTTTACCATGAATTTCTTTTTTATCTGAATATATGTTTATTCTCTTCAGATTATCATATAATTGCCTCTAAAATAAAGAACTGGTGTTAAAATATTAAAATTTTCATTGTGCTTTAATAACCAAGGTTGCTTAGTTGGGTTTACATGATGATGTTTGTTTTATCAGACAACATAGTAAGTACCCTCTCTGTTTTCTGCCAGGCATCAGAGAAATGGGCTTAACTGTCATAATAGGTGGATGTTTTTTAACCAATATAAAAAAGTTTTCTCAGATTGAAGCGATGATTATAAAAATGTTGAAGTATTGTCAGTGCTTTGTGGCTCTCTTCTCCCTGTTCCTCCTCAATTTCTATTGAAAAGTAAGTGTTTTTAATAATTAATAAAGAAAATTTTGGTTAGATTTTGATTTTCCTTTTTTTGTTTGTTTTTTATTTTTTGTTTTTTGTTTTTAGAGTAGCCGATCTGTCAGTATAGAAAGACTGTGTGTGGAAGACTAAAATTTACTTGAATGGTTTTAAGGCATGCTATTGTTAATTGTAAATCAAAGCTTTTTACACAGTTCTCCAAGGATTGAAATGGGTCTTTGTGGTCTCTCAGGAGGGAGGAAGTTACAAACCACTCCGTAGACTGGCATTTTAATAGTCTGCTGTACAGCGATGTTCTTTTGCAGCTGCTGCTTCGCCTTTTCTATATCTGGAGAGTGTGGGGAGGTTTTATTGTTGTTCCAATACTATCAGCTTTTAAAATATTGTGAAGTTAGTTGGCCTTATTGTCTGATTTAGTTTTGTTACTATAATTTGATCAATGTGTTAATAAAAATGAGGTTGGGGAGATAGGGGGTCCCTTGTAGTGTATATTCCTAGAATATTTCATAGAGGATTTCTGCTTCATGAAATGTACCTTTAAAAAAAGTGATGTGCCCCTTTTGCAGCTTGTGAGCTCTCCTCTGATTAATACAATCCCATTAGAACCTACAAGGCACAGAGAGAAGGATAGTACAAAGAGGTTTTGATGAAGGGAAATGAGACAAAAAGGGAAAGTTGCTATTCTGTTTTTCCAGGTTATAATTACAGCAAAAGATTGATTGGAAAACATTTAACTAGCAAGACGTGTCTGTGTGAGAGACATATGTTTTTGTAGACAACTTTCAAAACCTTTTGACTTCGAAGTATGAGTTAGAAATGTCTGTAAGACATTTATTCCCACACTTATTATTTTTCCTGTCTGAGAAATGTGAGTATTAACATAAAAATATGAATATACAAAGTATTAAGAACAATAACAAACAGAGGAAAGACTTATAGGAAACTGTTCAGTTTATTCTTTCATACTTTATATGAAAGGTGTGGATTTTTTTTAAGAGCAATCCTATTGCAAGATCTTACGAACTTTTAATTGGTGTGTATGAAGAATTCAAGGAGGTTTATAACAAAATCTGTATTATTAAATGTTTCTGTTTTAGAAACAGGTAATTTATTTTCAAGATAATCTATCTGATTTTTGGACTACGCTTTTTAATAAAATGTGCTCTTTTCAATTTTCTTCAACATAATTTTTGTAACTTAAAGTTTGGTTTGTTCTGGCTAGTTAAGAGGTATTTGCATGATGGTCCGCTTTCTCCAGGAAGTGATTTTATACAAGATTAACTGTCTAGATCCTTCTTGTTACACATGATTCAGTGTTTCCAATTCCTGATTACTTGATCATGTGTTTATCAAAGTTGAAGCAACTTTAGACCATGCCAGATGGTAAGGCTGGAGGTGTAGCAAGCTAGGTTTCTCTGCCACAAGTGCTCTAATTTAATTAAAACTAAAAACAGATTAGCAGAAAATCTGTCAGTTTGCCTTCCTTTGTGTGTGTATATATGAGACAAATCTAATAATTTCTTGGGTTTTTATTCAGGACATATCTGTCTATTTAGCACTTACAAGTGACTTGTATTTTTTTAATACCTCAAATTTTGTCTTCTTGGTATCCTCCACC